TATAATAAATAAGTGTTATCTTTTTAAAAATATTCTTATTAATTAAATGTATTGACTAAAATTATTATTATCACAAGAACTATCTTAAAAAAATGGATAAATATGATAAATAAAGTAGATTAGAGTCTTATTGAGAAAAGTGAAGAATGTGTGTGAAATAAAGTTTCACATGGGATGGGGGAGAGAAAATTTGAGTGTATATATGAACTCAAGCTTCCATGGGAAAGTAAATGGGCTAAGAGGAAGGTGAGCCTTGCGTGTACAGCAACAACCCTCCGGGAGGAAAATACAGTTGAAAACTGACGATTCCCTCCCTTCATGTGAATTAAACGCAGTAACAGGCCTTTTTCAAAAGTCAAGTTAAGTCTTATATTTTTTATACATATATAGATGGAGCTGCTGACTGCAAAGGAAAGAAAATCATGCTTTGCTCCTTATGTTAAGCAACGTATAGGATATTTATTGCCAATATCAAATTCAACATATTATGTTTAAGTTTAATTGGCAAGTTTAAGTAATTAAGTTAATGTATGTGTTTGTAGTTTCAGAAACTTGCAGAAGCCTATCTGATTAAAGCCAAGTGGTGCAACCAAGGTTACATCCCAACATACGAAGAGTACATAGAAAATGAAGTAGTCAAATCTGCACACCTTTTGCTCCAGAGAGCTTCTTTCTTTGGTCTTGGGAACTTTACAAGCAAACGTGTTTGATTGGGTTTCCAATATTCCCAGAATTGTTAGAGCTCCGTCTATTATCTGCAGATTAAGAGGTGGCATGAGTTCTTACAAGGTGCAAATGAATAGTTCAAATTATAGGTAAGATAACTTTGTGATTAATTAATTCTTATGATGAAGATCTTATAAGTACTAATATGGTTTTCGTGAATTGGTAGTTTGAAAGGAAGAGAGCACATGTTGCTTCTGCAGTGGAATGTTTGATGAATCAATATGGGATTTCATAAGAAGAGGCCTATAAAATTCTGCAGATGGTTTTAGATAATGCGTGGAAAGATATAAACGACGAATGCTTGAAGCCAGATGTTGTTCCAAAGGCTGTACTCGATTGTGCTGTGAATTTCACAAGTGTAATAGAGCTCCTGTATGGAAACTTTACAGAGAGATGCACCCATGCTGAACTGTTGCAAGATCATATTGCAGCATTGGAAACGGATCCCGTTGATAATTTACAATACCAATAGATGCTGTAGAGACAAGATCTGCAAGTATCAATTGAAGTTTATGGTGTGTATCTATAAGTGGGAACCATAATGCTGTATTAGATTGCTGGCTTTCTTGTGCATTATGTTCTTGGATAGTTGGATTGTATAATAGCAGTTATAATAAGCTTTTGCAGCCTTGTAGGCTGTAACTTCAATATTCAAGTTTACTAAGAGTGGTAATATAGAGTCTGTTTCATGGTAAGTTTATTATAGAGTGTTAGGGAACCTAAGAGTGGTAATATATATAAGCCAACCTAAGTTGGTGTTGTGCCTACGTAGAGCAGGTCAAAAAGGTCTGGTTGTAGGTGGATTTGCTTTTAGCCTATTTAACCTGTCGTAGTGAGTTGGCAGGTTAGGGTTAAGATTAGGTGTTGTTTTAAGATAAAACAATATTAAAATTTACTTTCAAAAATAAAAAAATGATTTTAAAGTCCTACGCAAGGAATCTAAATATAAAAAAAAATCCAGAAAATGCATAAATAGTTATCAAGTTCCCATCAACTTGTTTCCAAAAAAGTTATATATGGAGTCCCTTATAAACTTTAATATATATAATTATGAAAGATTTTATAGATAAGTAATAACTAATGCTGAGAATAAAAACAACAAACTAAATATCCATAAATAATAACTGAGTTATATATAAAAACAATTTGGGTTTAAATAAATAGTGGTAAAAATTTTATTGATTACTGCTGGACCTTTAATTATAAATATAAGATCTAATTTATAGTTTAAATTACACTACTAAATCTTACATTCATAATTGAGAGTATAATGTTAATAATTTGTGTTAGCGGTAGCACCTGCAGAAAACTGTTAGTTCGAGTCACATCCTACGAACACTGTCCTTAAGAGCTATTCCGCGACCACCGGCAAGTGAGGAAGTGGCACTCCCCAGGATTAAACGGACTCCTCCTGCAAGAACAGGGTGAACAGAACAGCAAAAGAGAAGATGAAACCTCAGCGAGACAGAGAAAATTCCAGAGGAGGGAAAGAGATGCACGAAAGCTCAAGTGCGGGATACTTGAGCCTCTACCTCGAAGCGCCTTATATAGGCCTCAACCCACTGCACCGTTGAACACAGATTAATCACGTTTAAATGTGATTAATATTGCCGTTTCAGACATTGCAGCAATGAAGGTGCATAATACGGCGGTTTCTGAACGTTGGGTGATTAAGGCACGTTAAAATCAGTTTAAACAAAACCGTTTCTGCAATTAAAGGATAATTCGTTTAGGTAATATTAAGGCCTTTGCGTTTCTGAAGGTTTCAAAATTCAAAAAGGCAATAAATCATGTTTTCAGGTAAGCTTCGAAATTATTAAAATTATTTTCAGATTTTGTAAAAATGTCTAAATAAAAAAGTATCTAATCTGCCTTTAACTTGCACGTAAGGGGGGAATCGCCAGATTTCCATTGCGTTTGTCTCCAGCGGCCCATGCTTGTGCATGCAACACCCTCCTTCTCCTCTAGGCCTATTCACTAACCCAAGAATACCAGCTTGTATTTATGGACTTGTGCCTTCATTCTCTTGAACAATGTGGGACTTGTCTTTTTGACACACCCACACAATTTCCAACAATTCGAACTTTAGACAGCATGCATTAAGTTGTGATAAGGGAATCTCGCAATGTCTTTACCAAGAACTGAGTTTTTTGGTTTTCGAGTTTGAGGATTGAAGAGCACATGGTTCCGCTGCAGCAAAACATGTTTCATGAATCAACATGGCATTATTTCAGAAAAATGAACTGTTTTATTTAAAAAAATTATAGCTGGTTAGAGTGCTTATGTTTTTTTTCCTCATTTGGTAATGAATGTTTATCACTGCAAAAAATTAAAATTATTTTCAGTGATAACTTTTACTAATAACAAAAGAAAAATCATTTTTTAATAATTTTTTTGTAGTAATGTACCGTAGAACCCCAGTCATAAATTCTCATATATTTCCTAATATTAACATTAACTTGCCATAATCCATAACCTCATTAGGAAGTTGTTGTAAGTTGTAACACGTTATGTCGTTTGGAAAAAAAAAAAAACACATTATGTTACACATGCTAGCCCTTAACTAGTTTTTATATTAAAAACTAGAGGTAATATTATTTTACTACACTTATGTCTCACACATTAGGCTTCTAAAGCGTGTTTATAATTAAGGTTCAACACCAACTCAACTAATGCTAATGATGTTATGTAGCAAAAAGATCATTGCAAGATCTTCTTTTGACAAAAGGGATCGCTAAAGTGTTAAAGTTGGATCTGCACATATATCACTGGATTGAGTTTGCTGTGCTGTTCCTTTTTTTTTTTTTTTTTTGAATTTTTGGATAAATGAGTTTGTCGTTCTTGAATGAAACTGGAGAAGTTTTTATGTAGTGTCGTGCCGTATTATTTAACCTTTTTTTTTAAAAAAAAATGTAAACAGTTTAAATTAAATAAGTCAATAAATTTTTAATTATTCCCTCTGAAACATCTTTAATAATTTTTCTCTTTTTTTGTTAAAGTACATGTATCTTTTTTCTTTGTTATCTTCTTTGTCTATCTTTATTAAAGAGAATTTAAATAATAAGATAATAATTTCAGGGGAACAAAAACAAAACCGACCTGTAATGGCAAAAGGCATCAGAGGACACATATAGTGTGGTTCAGTTCTTACGGCATATCTCACCGCGTTTTGCCGATATTCGAAGTCTCTTAGTTACTTGTTTAAGTGATTAGAATCTCTAATATTCTGGTTAACTTCAATTGGTTTCGGCTCATTTAATTTTAAACAATGGAAGGAAATACTCATCTTAGTTGCCGTAATTATTTTTATTTTTATTTATTTTTGCTGATCAGTGTCAACGGACCACACAGAGAATATGAACCACATGTTTCATGGTTTTAATATTTTACAGGCGTGAAGCACTTGCAAGCGCACCATCCCAAAATTATTTTTTTCTAGATCGCGAAATCTAATGCCGAGTGTGTGAGTTGCGCGCGCGCGCGCGCACACGTATATTAGACGCATGTAGGCGCGAAATTTGCGAAGTACATAGCGGTCTTTTTTGTGTATAAAAATTTATCAGGTCTTTTTTATTAATAAAATTTTTATCAGGGAACTTTTTTCTAATTTTTCCTTCATTATTGGTGTAATTACGTTGCAGGAAAAAGGACCTGGATAACCCAAAAAACAGTGCACCAATAAACAGACTAGTTTTAAGTACAAGCTTCAAAATTTGGATATAAAACAAAAAAATGATAAGGTAGAAATTCATTTTCATTTTCTATAAGAAAATTACTCTTTCGGTCCTTAATATATGAGTTATTTAGTTAAGGAGTTGATTTTGGTCTTACACGTAAAACCTTTATTTATTTTATTTCTCGTATTTAATTATTTATCATTTTGATCTCAAAAAAATTGATATGCAATCTAATATTATGTTGGGATATCTTATGACTATCATGTCATATTTGTTAAAAGTAAGTAATTTATTTAACTTCTTTTATCTATTAAAATTAGTTAAATAGCCGTTGTACTAAGTATTGAAGGCAGTAATATCACCTCTGAATCCAATCGAGTAGTGGAGATATTTAAATATGTTATTAATTAATCGTCCAATCAAAGTTCAAATTGCTTCATCGTGATCTCTACTGTCGCTTGCCTAAATAATAGGTTTTTATTAATTTTTGATTGAGGCGGCGGGTGAGATGAAGAGTAGTATAAATAGCAATGCACATAACTGGAATCTTCAAACTAAGCCAACCCAGAGAAAGCATTCGCAGTTTTATACCCAAAAATGTCTTCCGCAAGTGAAACTTCTCATATTATGCGTCCCATGGCCGATTTTAGTCCCAATATTTGGGGATACCATTTCTTCAACTCTGCTTCTCCTCCTCTCCTGGTTATTCTTTTGCTTTCACTGCTTCATTTCATTTGCTTAACATATACTGTCCATGAAATCATTTTACGTGCTTTAACCCAAGGGGGTGGGCATCGGTATATATGAATGAAAGTTTAAATAACCTTCGCATATATGAAATAGAGTTAAATCAAAGGGAGGATATATATCTAAACAAAAATTACCGCTTTAACTTCAAAAAATCATAATTTTTTTTCTTTTTCCGTTGAACACCCGTTTAGGTGCTACATTTGTTTAGATGTCATCATCATCATCTTCTTCCGTGCATAGGAAACACTCATTAATTTTTCGAAGGTGCAGAATGGAGGACCGGAAGTCCTACAGCGATCACAACGTCTGAGGGAGAAAGTTCGAAAGTTGATAGTAGCACCAGTTGAGGATCCTACACAAAAGCTGAACTTGATCGACAACGTCAAACGTTTAGGTGTGTCTTATCATTTCGAAAGTGAGATTGAAGAGATATTGCAGAATATGCACAAGAACCCTCCGCCATTCAAAGGCAGAGATCTTCATGCCATTTCCCTCTACTTTCGGTTGCTTAGGCAACAAGGTTATCACGCACCATCTGGTACGTTAATTGTAACTACTGCTGTTCATATTTTGTTCAAGTTCTCATCCATGCTATCAGACCTTCTCATTTCTAAAAGCGTATGCAGATATATTTGACCAATTCATGGATGAAAATGGTGATTTCAAGAAGTCACTGCTGGACGATGTGGGGCGAATGCTGAGCTTATACGAGGCTGCACATTTTGGCATCCATGGAGAACATGTTCTTGACCAAGCTATACATTTCACTTCCTATCACCTCAAGTCAAGGTTGGGTGCCATGAGCCCAAACCTCGAACGAAAAGTCAGTCGTGCACTGAACTTCCCCATTCGGAAAGGAATCCCAAGATTGGAATCCAGATATTACATTCCCATATACTCAGCAGAGGCTTCTCCAAACGACCCACTGCTAGAATTGGCCGTCCTGGACTTTCATCTTGTGCAGCTTCTGCACAAAGAGGAACTTCAACATGTCACAGAGTAAGACCTATTTCTGAATCATATCTAGGCAAAGTCAGATATCATGTTATTGGAGAGAACAAGAAAGCTTAACATATATTATATTGCATTGCAGGTGGTGGAAAAAGTTAGACTTTGCGACGAAGGTGCCCTATGCTAGGGACAGAGTAGTTGAAGCATATTTTTGGCCCTTGGGTGTATATTATGAGCCTCAGTATATAATTGGAAGGACAATAGTGGGCAAATTAATTGCGGTTACTTCCGCCGTTGATGATACATATGATGCATATGGCACCCTTGAAGAACTTGAACTCTTCACTGAAGCAGTCCGCAGGTTAAATTAATTGATTAATAATTTTAATTTTTTAAAAAAAATTAAATTCTTCAAATGCTATTTTCCTCATTTGTTGTTAATTAACAAAGCTAATATTGTCACTTGAAACTGTTTCTCAGATGGGATGCTAGTCCTTTGGATCCTGTTCCAGAATGCATGAAAGTGGTGTTTCATGCTCTGTTAGATCTATTCAATGAAATGGAGTTGCTGACTGAAAAGGAAGGAAAATCATGCTTTGTTCCATATGTTAAAGAAACTGTAGGATATTTATTGCCTGTATCAAATTCTAAATACTATCTTTGGTTCTTAATATAAGAACTAAATGATTAATTTAAATAGATTAAGAAAGTTTGTTTAGTTAGTTACTTGTAACAAATAGGTTTTATCTTCCCTAAAATACTTTTACTAATCATGCTATTAGCTAGGATTACTATTTGATAGAACCTTTAACACGTATAATTACTACAAAGACTACTTAGAAAAAAGAAGAAGAAGAAGAAGATAAATGTGAGAAACAAAGTAAGGTTAGAGTTTTATATTTAGAAGCAAATTGAATGTCAAACTAGCTCTTATGTTAAAAACCAAATGTAGTATTATGTTTGAGCTTGATTGACAAGTGTGACTGATGAAGTTAATGTTTGTACTTTGTAGTTTCAAAAACTTGCAGAAGCCTATTTGGTTGAAGCCAAGTGGTGCAACCAAGGTCACATCCCAACATACGAGGAGTATGTTAAAAATGGAGTTGTGACATCTTGTTATCCTTTGCTCGAGATAGCTTCTTTCCTTGGGCTCGGGAACTTGGCAACCAAACATGTGTTTGATTGGATTTCCAATGTTCCCAGAATTGTGAGAGCTTCAGCTATTATCTGCAGATTAACAGATGACACGAGTTCTCACAAGGTACAACAGTAACAATTTAGATTATGGATAACATAGTTGTGATTAATTCTTATGATGCTCTTATAAGTAGTACTGAGTTTCTTCTGGTTTTCTTGAATTGGTAGTTTGAGCGGAAGAGAGCACATGTTGCTTCTGCAGTGGAATGTTTGATGAAGCAACATGGGATTTCAGAAGGAGAGGCCTATAAAATTCTGCAAAAGGATTTAGATAATGTGTGGAAAGATATAAACGAAGAATGCTTGAAGCGAGATGTTGTTCCAAAGGTTGTGCTCGATTGTGTTGTGAATTTCTCAAGTGTAATAGAGCTTGTTTATGGAAACTTTGCAGATAAATACACACATGCTGAACTGCTGAAAGATCATGTTGCAGCATTGGTCGTGGACCCCGTTGATAATTTACAGTAATACAAATAGATATGCTTTAGAGACACATGGCTTGCAAGTAGTTATTAAAGTTTATGTGGTGTGTGTATGAATAAGTGGGAAACATAATGCCATGTGGTGGCTGGAGGAGCTCCAGCGGAGGAAGGATTAAGATTTTCTTTTAATAGTTGAGTATTGAACTATATTTACATACAAAGTATTTGAGATTTGAGATTTATTTGAGCATTTCGTAGCACTTAATAGTAATTTTCTCAAATTATATGTGTGTCGGTGTGTAACCAAATCATGATTAAAAATTAAAGCATAGTGTGGTGCGCCTTTTGAAACTTTAAAGCTATCCAAATCATTTAAAGGATACGTCCCACACATTGGCTTTAGGTTGATCGGTCAGCAATTTTCAAGCATGTGGTGCCTTCCGTTGGGTCTCTGGCTCCCATCGTGCTGCATGGCCCCATAAAGCCCTACTTAGATTTTGCTGTTCATTTAGAGATCCATCCTTTGTCATTATCTCCACCAGCACATCAAGCCCATAATTCCCTGATCAAGAGAATCTCAGTGTATTAATTCTTCACATACAATCATATTATGCAGGATAACAAAATGACAAGATGAAAGAATGCAAGTGAAAATGATTGAGAGTAATTTGATTTAGTTGCCTCAGTTGGAAATTAATTTCGTCAAGGGATTGAACAAAAGGAGCGGCAGCCACACAGTGTGTTTTTACTTTAGGATAAAGGCATTGAATCAGAATCAGAAGAGTACATATATGTGCACACAAAAGTTGCTGAATATAGTAAGTTGCCTTTGGGATAAAGCAGTGTGTTTCCCCTTTTGGATTTCCTTTTTAGTAAGAAAATTGCAACTTGCTATATATGTCAATTATTCCTTTGTCCTCAATAATGTTTGTCTTAAAAGAAGTAGAAATAGCAAATCGGGATGAAGGCACATGTCCGACGATTTTCCTTGGAAAATTTGGGACAAAATTTTCCAAGTCTACCCATATGCATCTCTGCTTGCAAAGCTTTGGAATTCTCTCATCACTAATCATGACCTCATAGATGCCAACCTTAATTAGTTATAGTGCGACAACATCATTTTTATTTACTATTTCCGATACTTAATATAAAAGTTAGATAATTGCAATTCTCTCATCACTAATCATAACCTCATAGATGCCCACCTTAATTAGTTATAGTGCAACAACATCATTTTTATTTAATATCTCCGGTTCTTAATATAAAAATTAAATAATTATTTTAAAGAGATTAATAAAATTAATTAAATTGATTAATTATAACAAATGTGTGTTGATTTTCCTAAACTACTCTCTTAAATCAAGTGTATTGGACCTATTTCTTAGCAAGAAACTTTTACTATTGATACTAGTGTTTTAGAAAAAAATATTATATATTTAAAAGATAAAGTAGATTGATGTTTTATATTTAAATCTAAATATTAAACATGTCACATGCTTCGCAACAGAATATGAACTTCATGAGATCTGGTCATTCCTTGTGGTCCTAAAATTAAAGTGCATGATATCGATCATACCATCTTCACTGATTTATTTAAATATTATAAATGGACTTCAGAAAAACTTGTGGCTATCATAGGAAAACACAGACTTATCACTGCCACTGATTGTATCCTATTATAGACTTCAGAACAACTTGTGGCTATCATGGGAGAACGCAAAAACATGTCACTGCCACTGATCGTATCCTCTTGCAGACTTCAGAAAAACTTGTGGTTATGTTTTCTTTTCTGTTTTGTTTTTGTTTTTGCTTTTTTTTTTTAAAAAAAATATTTTTGGGACATCCAACCTGACATGATGAAACATATCATTTATATTTCCCTCACCGAAAATCCCAGACAACATGGATCTAACATGTAAATTTTTATAACTTTTTCCTAATTTTTCCTTCATGATTGGTGCAATTACGTTGCAGGAAAAAAGATCCAGATAACCCAGAAACAGTGCACCAATAAACAAACTAGTTCAATACAGGTTTCAAAATTTGGACATAAAATAAATAAATGATAAGGTAGAAATTCATTTTCATTTTCTTTAAGAAAATTACTCTTTCAATCCTAAATATATGAACTATGTAGTTAAGGAGTCGATTTTGATCTTACATATAAGATTTTCATTCATTTTATTTCTCATATTTAATTATTTATCATTTTGATCGCAAAATAATTTATTTAATTTATAAATCGATATATGATTTAACATCATATAGGAATATCTTAAGGATATCATGTCATATTTGTTAAAATTAAATAATTTATTTAACTTTTTTAATCTATTAGAATTAGTTAAATACCCGTTATCTTAAGTATTGAAGGAATGTAACTTGGCGGTAGTATCACCTTTGAATGGGATCGATAAGAAACAAGGGGTGGAGATATTTTATTAATTAATCGTAAATTGCTTCATCCAACCAAAGTTCAAATTGCTTCATCGTGATTTCTCCTGTCTCTTTCCTAAATAGATTTTTATTAATTTCTGACTGAAGCGATAGGTGAGATGAAGGCTAGTATAAATAGCGATGCACATAAGTAACATCTTCAAACGAGGCCAAAGAAAAAAGCATTCGCAGTTTTATACCCAAAAATGTCTTCCGCAAGTCAAACATCTCAAATTATGCGTCCCATGGCCCATTTTAGTCCCAATATTTGGGGATATCATTTCTTCAATTCTGCCTCTCTTCCTCTCCTGGTAATTCTTTTACTTTCACTATTTTCTTTCCTTTGCTTAATATTTACGATCCATGAAATCATTTCACGTACTTTGACCCAAGTGTTGGGTATGAGTGAAATTTGAAATAACTTTCGTATATATATGAAATAGAATTGAGTGACAGGAAGGATATATATATATATATATATATAAACAAAAAAACCTCTTCAAAAAAAAAAGAACAGAAATATTTTCTTCTTTTCGGTGCATAGAAGACCCTCATTAATTTTTGAAGGTGCAGAATAGAGAACCAGAAGTCCTAGAGCGATCACAACGTCTGAAGGAGAAAGTTCGAAAATTGATAGTAGCACCAGTTGATCAGGATCTTACGCAAAAGCTGAACTTGATCGACAACATCAGACGTTTAGGTGTGTCTTATCATTTCGAAAGTGAGACTGAAGAGATATTACAGAATATGCACAACAACCCTCCACCTTTCAGAGGCAAAGATCTTCATACCATTTCCCTCTGGTTTCGGTTGCTTAGGCAACAAGGTTTTCACGCACCATGTGGTACGTTAACTGACTAATGCTGTTCATTTTTTGTTTGAGTTCTTATCCACTCTATCAGACCTTCTCATTTCTAAAAGTGTATGCAGCTATATTTGACCGATTCAGGGATGAAAATGGGGATTTCAAGAAGTCGCTGGTGGACGATGAGGTGGGGATGCTAGGCTTATACGAGGCTGCACATTTTGGCACCCATGGAGAAGATGTTCTTGACCAAGCTATACATTTCACTTCCTATCACCTCCAGTCAAGGTTGGATGCCATGAGCCCAAACCTCGAACGAAAAGTCAGTCGTGCACTGAACTTCCCCATTCGGAAAGTAATCCCACGATTGGAATCCAGATATTTCATTCCCATATACTCAGCAGAGGCTTCTCCAAACGACCCACTGCTAGAATTGGCCGTCCTGGACTTTCATATTGTGCAGCTTCTGCACAAAGAGGAGTACATGTCATAGAGTAAGACCTATTTCTGAATCATATCTAAGCAAAGTCAGATATCATGTTATTAGAAAGAACAGGAAAGCTTAACATATATTATATTGCATTGCAGGTGGTGGAAAAAGTTAGACTTTGTGACCAAGGTGCCATGCATATGCTAGGGACAGAGTAGTTGAAGCATACTTTTGGCCCTTGGGTGTATATTATGAGCCTCAGTATATAATTGGAAGGACAATAGTGGGCAAATTAATTGCAGTTATTTCTGCCGTTGATGATACATATGATGCATATGGCACCCTTGAAGAACTTGATCTCTTCACTGAAGCAGTCCTGAGGTTAAATTAATTGATTAATAATTTTAATTTTTTTAAAAAAAATTAAATTCTTCAAATGCTATTTTTCTCATTTGTTGTTAACTAACAAAGCTAATATTGTTACTTCAAACTGTTTCTCAGATGGGATGCTAGTCCTTTGGATCCTGTTCCAGAATGCATGAAAGTGGTGTTTCATGCTCTATTAGATCTATTCAATGAAATGGAGTTGCTGACTGTAAAGGAAGGAAAATCATGCTTTGTTCCATTTGTTAAAAAGACTGTAGGATATTTACTACCAATATCAAATTCTACATATTATGTTTAAGCTCAATTGGAAAGTCTAACTAATGAAGTTAATGTATATGTTAGTAGTTTCAAAAACTTGCAGAAGCCTATCTGGTTGAAGCCAAGTGGTGCAACCAAGGTTACGTCCCAACATACGAAGAGTACGTGGAAAATGGAGTAGTGACATCTTGTTACCCTTTGCTCGAGATGGCTTCTTTCCTTGGTATCGGGAACTTTGCAACCGAACATGTGTTTGATTGGGTTACCTATGTTCCCAAAATTGTGAAACTTCAGCTATTATCGGCAGATTAACAGGTGACATGAGTTCTCACAAGGTACAGCATTAACAACTCAAATTATAGATAACATCGTGATTACTTCTTATGATGCTCTTATAAGTACTGAGTTTATTGTTTTCGTGAATTGGTAGTTTGAGCGGAAGAGAGTACATGTTGCTTCTGCAGTGGAATGTTTGATGAATCGACACGGGATTTCAGAAGAAGAGGCCTATCAAATTCTGCAAAAGGATTTAGATAATGCATGGAAAGATATAAACGAAGAATACTTGAAGCCAGATGTTGTTCCAAAGGTTGTGCTCGATTGTGTTGTGAATTTCACAAGTATAATAGAACTTGTGTATGGAAACTTTGCAGACAGATACACACATGCATGCTGAACTGCTGAAAGATCATGTTGCAGCATTAGTGGTGGGCCCCATTGATAATTTACAGTAATACAAATGGATATGCTTTAGAGACACATGGCATGCAAGTAGTTATTAAGGTTTATGTGGTGCGTGTATCAATAAGTGGGAACCATGATGCTGTGTGGTGGCCGGAGTATTAAGATTTTCTTTTAGTCGTTGACTAGGGAACTATATTTGCATACAAGGTATTCGAGATTGAGAGTTATCTGAGCATTTCGCAGCACTT